AAGTCCAGTAGTGTGATGCCTCCCGCTTTGTTCTTTTTGCTTAGAATTGACTTGGCTATGCAGGCTCTCTTTTGGATCCATATGAAGTTTAAGGTGGTTTTTTCCAGTTCTGTGAAGAAGGTCATTGGTAGCTTGAAGGGGATAGCATTGAATCTGTAAATTACTTTGAGCAGTATGGCCATTTTCACGACATTGATTCTGCCCTCTCTCACCACTGCTATTCAGTATAGTATTAGAAGTTCTAGCCAGAGCAATCAGGCAAGAAAAAAAATAAAGGACATTTAAATAGGAAAGGAGGAAGTCAAATTGTCTCTATTTGCAGACGACATGATTGTATATCTAGAAGACCCCATCGTCTCAGCCCCAAATCTCCTGAAACTGATAAGCAAGTTCAGCAAAGTCTCAGGATACAAAATCAATGTGCAAAAATCACATGCATTCCTATACACCAATAACAGACTTAAAGAAAGCCAAATCAAGAACAAACTTCTGTTCACAATTGCCACAAAGAGAATAAAATACCTAGGAATACAACTAACAAGGAACGTAAAGGACCTCTTCAAGGAGAACTACAAGCCACTGTTCAACGAAATAAGAAAGGAAACTTCAGATTTAATAGAAAAGTTACAAAAATAGAATAGAGAATTCCCATATCCCCTTCCCTGAGTTTCCCCAGTGTTAACTTTTTGTGTAACCATAATAGAGTTATCAGAACTAACAAGTCAACACTGGTAACAGTATAATTACAGACTTAATTCAGATTTTGCCAGTTTTTCCACTGATGTCCTTGTTCTATTCCAGCATCCATTGCAGGATCCCACACTGCACTTACTTACTTGTGTCTTTTTGGTTTCCTCAGACCAGTGACAGTTTCTCAGTATTTCCTGTCTTTCAAGATCTTCATTCACACTTTTGAAGAGTATCCACTGTGTATTTTGCAGGATGTCCTTCAATTTGGATTTGTCTATAATGTTCTCATGATTTGACCAGAATACCACAGAAACGAATATGTCCTTCCGGATTTATTATATCAGGGGTACATACTGTTAATAAGTTTTATTATCAGTGAAGTCAGCCTTGATCACCTGGCTAAGGTGGTATCTGCTAGTTTTTTCCACTATAAAGTTACTATTTTCCCTTTGTAATTAATATCTATTTTGGGGGCAATAGTTTGAGGCAATACAAATATCTGGTTTTCCTCAAACTTTTGCCTGCTAATTCTAGCAAACATTGGTAGTTCCTGCCTGTGACAGCCATTATAGTAATGGTTTTTCTATTTTTCTCATTCTTTCAACATGTGCTACATTTATTACAGAATTCTTCTTTACGAAAGAATTATCCATTTTTCCCATTTACTTGTTCAATTATTTATTTACATCAATATGGACTCGATACTTATTCTATGAGTTATAAGGTAATAGTATTGTTTTTTATTTTGTGGCTCAAATTCACTTACTTTTTTTACTCTTTTAAATAATGTTGATTGGTTACCCACTCTGTGCCAAGCACTGTGTTTACATATATAAACTTACATTTATATATAAGCGGTCATGTTTAATCATTGAAAGAGTCCCAAAGGAAAAGTATTACTAGTCACATTGTATAGACAATGAAACTAAATCTGAGAAGGGACATACACTGGTTTTAGTAGCGGAACCAGAAGTCAGACCCAGGTCTCCCATAATCTCTTCAAGATACCAACTTATCTGGAGACTCAAGCATATACAGCAAACCAGACATAGAAAGCAAACAGATGCCATCACTGATATATAAAATTCTACATTCCAATTTTGTGAAATTGTAAATGAGCCTAACAGGCCAGCATGTCAACATCCAGGAAATCACACACACCTGCACACCAGCAACTTGTTACTGATGCACCTTGCACCTCTGTGGGCTGAGAGCCACACACAGGGACTCAGAGGAAAGATGAGTAGGTTTCATTCTCCAGGATTCCCATTAGAGCCAAATAAGTTAAAAGAAAAAAAAAAACACAAAAAACCTGCCACAGAATAAATGTTTAAGCTATTGCTAAATTTAACCCTATCATTTTCATCCCTTTAACCCTAATAAGTGAGATACTCTTGCCAAGCGGTAAGAAAGAAAATGGAGCACATACCTTCTCAATAGAGGTATTTAACTTCCTGTCAAGTGACATGTCTTAGATTAATTTGGGGGAAAAAAAAAGCCATCAAGTATTATTGTATCAGAGGAGAGATTTGCAAATTAAGACATCACGGTCTGTGCTGTCAGAATTCAGACCAATCTGCCAAGCTGTCATTAATTTACCAAAACCAAAAAATGAGACTATCATGAATATTACATGAGTATATTCATATAATGTATATATATTTAACATATATTTCCATCCCAGCAGTTAATAGGAAAGACAATGAAATATAAGGCAACCCCAAATATACAAAATGTCTGCTAATGCTTGAGAATACTATCTATAGTGGTTAAAGAAAAATGAAGACAAGAACTTTTTGAAAATCACTTTGAAATTTTTCTTGTTTCCTTTTTTTCTTTCCTTTTTTTTTTTTTTTTTAGAGACAGGATCTTGCTCTGTCTCTCAGGCTGGAGTACAGTGGCACCATCATAGCTCACTACAGCCTCAGACTCCTGGGCTCAGGTGATCCTCCCACCTCAGCCTCCCAAACAGCTGGGATTACAGGCATGAACTACTGCACCCAGATTTGAAATTTCTAGTGATACCACAATACAACAGGTGTTAACAAACTGTTGTATTGGTATTAATTTAGAACAGTGATTCTCAAACATGGGCAATAGAGGCCAGGGATGCAAGTAAACATTTTACAACCTTACAGGACAGCATTCACAACAAATAAATATCTGGTCCAAAATGTCAGTAGTGCTGCGAAAAAGAACCCCGTTCTGGAAATATTGAAAGGCAACACATATGAGGTATATTTGCACATTTAGTGTAGATTTATTTAGAAGAGAGAAATAGATTAACATATAAGTACCTGAGAATGTATATCTAGCTGTCTCTCAAGAATATTGTCCCAGAAATGTTCGTCCTTACTATCTGTGATGGCTAGTTTTAATGTGGCAACTTAGCTAGACCATAGGACACCCAGACAGTTGATTAAACATTATTCTGGGTGTTCTGTGATGGTATATTTGGATGAGATTAACATTTATATTGGTAGACCTGAGCAAAGAGAATTGCCCTTCCTAAGGTGAGAGGGCCTTGTCCTGCCAGTTGAAGGACTGCATAGAACAAAAGACTGATTGCCCAACCCCCCAAGAGAATTCTGCCTGCCTGCCTTCTAACTGAAACACTGGGTCTTCCTGGATCTACCGCAGCCTGTTGGCCTTCAGATGTGAATCGGGACATCGGCTCTGCAGATTTTGGACTTTCAGCTTCCATAATCCTGTAAGTCAATTCCTAGTAATATACATACATAGTCATATAATCTCCTATTGGTTCTCTTTCTCTGGTGACCCCTGAGTAATACATTACCCGTGAAGCTCCTTTTAGTCTGGGATTTGGGTCAGTTGGTTTTATTGTTTCAGAAAGAGTCTACAGAATACGATTCTCATTGGTTTTTGGCTATCATTACCCTGTTGCTAATCATTATCTATGTCATATAATCCCATCCAAGCCAATGTTGGAACAAGTATTTGAATCACAAACATACCCCAATATTGCGTAGGTTAACCCTGTTCATATAATCTAATCTCATAGCCTTTTACTGCCTTTTAAACTCTTGGTTTTTGGGGTGTGATCGTGTTTATTTAGTAAAAGAAATGTAGATGTTACCTAGAAGTGTTCACTGCCATCTTCTCACACAAGGGTGTCTGACACCAACAATCGTACTAGCTTGCCGGCTCCAAACCAGATTCAAATGGCATGCTGAAAATTTCCCATTGGTATTTTGCTTTTTTTACAGTTTGCAAGTGGGAATCTTTAACTCTGAATTGGAAACTTCCTAGTGTAAGCATTTGCATTAATTTTGTATTCTTTCAAACTAGGTACATTTGCCAAAGTCATTACTTTCTTTGATACAAAAATAGTCCAGGATCGCTTCTGTCTCATGTAAATTACAAAGGAAAATTCAAAACTCATATGCTGCCTAATGTCTTAACTCTAATTCTAAATCCTAAATGCCAGTTTTAAAAGAAGTAATTATTAATTATTAATGGCCTAAGGAAAATAATGTTAGTGGATTTCTAACAAGGGAAAAAACCCAAAACCAGAATTAATACTGTACTTCAGTGTTGAATATCTCATTATCTTCCTCTTCCTTTCTCTTGCCTCATTTAGGCTACTCTAAAGCATGCACTTAGAGAGGTTAGAAGGAGATGTTTGTAATCTACATTTTCTACTAGAGTCTTTCTTATGGATGAAGAAAACATTGGAAGCTGCTGAGAAGAGACGTCTGTGTTCTGCAATTCCCTGTACTGATCTCTTCCTCATTATCACAAACAGCAGAGTTAGCTACGATCTGAGAGCATGTTTCCAATGTAGTTTATACTCATGTTAAGGACAGCCACAGTTGGAAAAAAGCTGACAGTCCTAACTTTTATTTTTTTGTATTAATCTCCAAGGATTTAGGCAAGTTCCTAAGATAAATCCATTTCCCCCTTTCAGAAAGGGCTTGCCTTGAATTACTCACCAAATCCCAGAAATAGCCCATCGTGATTGCTTCCTAGTGTCACCAGACGTTGGTTTCCATAGAGCTGGCCGGGGACTATCCCTCCTAGGCATGACATTTAGCACAACCTTTTTGAGCCTAAGTCAGTTATACTCAGTAATGGCTGAGTGGAGAGAGCTGAGCTCCTGCTAAATATCAGATCTGGTTAAGGAATAATCCGGGAAGCAGAAGGACTTTGCAACTTCAAAGGGAGGGCTCACATAATTCATTTCACATTACCGATATGTGGTTATTACTATGAGTTCTTACTGATTTTTATGTTCTAAATGTCCCAAAAGTATCTGAGTCACCTGCAGGACGAAAATGGAGGAGACGTCACAGCATTGCCTGTCCAGACTGCCAGACAACTCTGCCCTGAAGCAGCAGAAGTTGCCTGCCCACCGGCTATGTTTCACGGCCACGAGAGTCCTCTCTGTCTTTTTCACAATGGCAACATTCTGCCTTTGTATGGGCAGCATCCTCATAGTGTCTGCAAGGAGCACTCAGGCGATAGAGGTTTGTCCTATCTTACGTTTTAATGCAGTTCCTGAGAATTTTCAGCTTTGGCAGCATAAGTGAGAATGGTCATTTGAGAACACAGCCCTCAAGAGGAGCTAGATAAGACAGGAACATCCCTCTTTCAGCTAGCTTTCACAGATGATGACAGAGCCCTTGTAGAGTGACTTCATTCATCCCGACTCCCTCTTGAGGACAGTTACTCTCATGCCAGTCAGCTCAGACACAAAGTTAGAAGCTTTCTTCCCCACACCCCCCACCCCCTACCCAAGATGGAGTCTTCCTCTGTCACCCAGGCTGGAGTGCAGTGGTACACTCTCGGCTCACTGCAACCTCTGCCTCCCAGATTCAAGCAATTCTCCTGCCTCAACCTCCCTAAGTAGCTGGGACTACAGGCTCCTGCCACCATACCTGACTCATTTTTTTGTATTTTTAGTAGAGACAGGGTTTTACCATATTGACCAGGCTGGTCTTGAGCCCTTGACCTCCTGATCCGCCCACCTCGGCCTCCCAAAGTGCTGGGATTACAGGCATGAGCCACCCCGCCCAGCCAACACTTTGTTTTATGCTGGCAGAGAAGACAGCAAGTGGCTAATAGAGGCAGAAGGAGAGTCAAGGCCACATGACTGCCAGAGAACCATGGGTCATACTGATAAAAAGAGCAAAGTGTCCAAGACACAGATCTTCAATATGGCCCCACGTTGAAGCCTTGTGTCTTTCCCTTTGCAAATGAAATCCATCTGAGATCCGGGAAAGACGAGAGCCTAAGTCTTTCTGGCATCTTAAGGATATTTAGCAAAACAAAGTTCTACTCAGAGTGAGAAAAGCTGATGCAAAGGGCAGACCTCTCAGGCACAAACCTTTTGCCTACTTGATGAACAAGCTGTTGGAGAATGAAAATCGCCAAAGCTGGTCTAGAGAGGGAAGACAAGAGCTGGTCTAAGGCTTGATTGGCCATGCCCATATTCAGTCTAATGAATTAAGTATATGTTTCATCCATATCAACTCTGAGCAGATATCTGGACATCCCAGACCATGTGAGCTCCATTCTGAAAGAAGTAACTGTAGAAAGCTGATGTATTCCCACTCCTCACATGGCTACTAGCAAAATTAAGAGGAAGACCAAGTCTATCAACATTGGTTTAAAATTTGAGTGTTACTGGGCGTGGTGCCTCATGACTGTAATACCAGCATTTTGGGAGGCTAAGGCAGTTGGATCACCGGAGGTCAGGAGTTCGAGACCAGCCTGGCCCACCTGGCGAAACCCCATCTCTACTAAAAATACAAATATGAGCCGGGCATGGTGGTATATGCCTGTAATCCCAGCTGCTCAGGAGGCTGAGGCAGTAGAATTGCTTGAACCTGAGAGGCAGAGGTTGCAATGAGCCGAGATCACGCCACTGCACTCCTGCCTGGGTGACAAAGCAAGACTTCATCTCAAAATAAAACAAAAGTTATGAGTGTCTGAAGGTGCCAAAGGGTTCTGTTGACTGGGCAGATAAGTAAGATGAGGAAGAGTGAATTCGTGCCCTCAATGAGCTAAGGAGAGAGTAGGTAAAATAGTATGTGGTGAGAGCAGAGAGCTTACCCTTGGCTGGCTGTTCACTGTGTCGCCACCCCCTTCCTTGCCCACTGCCCGGTACATGATAGGTACACACTTACTGAAAGAATGGGCTAGGGCAGACAGTGCAGGCAGAGAGAAAAATGCCTTTTCAGGCTCTGCTCCCCCCAAGGCACACTGCTCTGTTGCCTCTCTGCTTACATTTTTTCCTCCAGCTCCCAGCAGCTTATCTCCCTGGGAATTAAACGACAGCAAGCCCTCCAGTGTTATGTGTAAACTCCCACCAGGCTCCACCATGTGGCAGAGGCAAAATGGCAGGAGGAGATGAACCCTGCCTTGCTGAAAGGGATAGCAAAGGAATGGGCTTACAAGGTTGATGTCCATTTCCACAGAGTTCATGCAATTTACTTTTCTACTCTCTTCCTCACCAATCTCTTTCCTTCTGGCTCTTCCTCCCTTCCTGTGTCACTCTTACTTCCTCCCTTGTTACCCTGCCCCCCATCCACCCATTGTGGAGTGCAGCCTTCATTAAGAGGCAGCCATGCATGAGAAGGTGACCTCATGCCATCACCAGGTATGTGATCGCATACCATTCATGTGATCAGGTACAGATAGCATAGAAAAGACTTCCGAGTTAGCCTTTCCTCTTCTCACTCAGCCCTGGGGCACAAGGAAGTGGTCTCTCTGCAGTTCACTTTAAACAAGAATAATTTCTGCCTCTCCAAAATTCTATGAGGAGCCAACGGTGATCTAGGCTCCATCTCATAGCTATTGACATACCAATCCACTCAAGCAGCAAACTGTCATTACACAGACAATAGATCAGGGATAATTTTTAGGCAACAAAGCACCATAGATACCAACTACTCAAAAATTATTTGATCATGAAATATTTTCTTGAATTCACGAAGTAGCGTGTATACTACTACAGTGACCTCACAGATCAATGAATTGCTACATGAAATGATGCTGATGGGCAAAATGCGGGCCCTAGAGGTTAAGCACTTAACCCGAGGTTGGAGGCTGGCTGAACTAGAACCCCCGTTTCTTCAGACACCACTCAGTATGTTGTCTTTCCATAAGGATACAGCCCTGTTCTTTAGTGCTTTTTATAAACTGAAATGTAGTCTACAAACAGAAAGGATGTAAATATTTTCAAAATAATAGTCCAAGCCTTGCTGTGTATTTTAAGAATGATTTAACTGAATATAGGCATCTAAGTACAATGAAGTATAGCATTTTCACTAAACTTCAATTCAGTGTTCACACTTCACGTTTGGGCTTCAAAACCCTTACAAGCTTTACAAGGATGCAAAGTTCCTTCTGTCTTCCTTGTTAGTCCTCTCTCCCAAAGAATCCTAACTTCTGCTAGCACCATACCAAGGAGAAAGCCACCCTCTTGCCTCCCTGCTCCTCTGCACCCCCATAATCATCTAATCACTCCTCAACACAGTGAGGGCAAGGCAGAAGCAGCCCGCAGCAGCACCCATGACAGCCCAAGGGCCCCTGAGATGAGCATTCTTGCAGATAAAGGCAGCAGTACAGCCCTGAGCCCACCTGCCCAAGTCTCTCTCCCTTACCCTTCTAGCTGCATCTTCACAGAACTCAGTGCCTCAGCCAGAGCTCACAGGAGCCACCCAATTGGGACATACTATCCTTCTTTTTATCCTTTTTAAGGAGTCCATTAAACCATTTTTCACAGCATTTTACGTTTATAAAACAGAATGGAACAGCATTTTAGAACCAGAATAATTTGACACATGTCAATAATCTAACATTTTGGAAACACTTCTTTTTCTGTTTGGTCACTTTTAATAACTTCCTCTGGATGCCATGTAGAATAATTTGCTAGTATAAATATTTTCCATACAATAGAATGGAAAAACAGTGAAGTGATTTCCCCATAAAGTTGATTAGACCCAGGCTGTAAGCCTAGTTCTCATGAGTCATTGACTAATGCCTTCCTAGCAACTGACACCTCTTTATGATCTGGGGTAAAGCTTCATCACAACAGGTTATATAAATATGCAACAGAAACACTGAATGCTGGGCCAGTAGCAAAATGCTGCCAAGTCCCCAGATGAGACTGTAAGAAGGCCCACGCCTCCTGAACATCTCCAGAAACACTGGCCCTGCACAGCGGGCTACCCCATTCGGTCCCAGACTCCATGCCCCTGACCCAGACAGGCAGACACTCGGGTAGACTCCAGGTTTGAATGTTAAGATATGTACCCATGGAACTTGTTAATTAATCACTGGTTTTATTCCTTGCCTGACAGATTAATTACACAAGAACATGTGCAAATTGTGCCAAACTGCGGGAAACTGCCTCTAATTTTGACAAAGAATGCACCTGTTCTATTCCCTTTTACCTCTCAGAAAAAATGATGGTGAGTGAAACTCAAGAAACTTCAGTTGACTTTACGCTGATCTACTCCTATGTAACACTGGCAGTAAGTGCACATTTTCCATCAAATGCTTTCCAAAACTGAAAATATAAAAAATAAAGCAGGATGGTGGTGGTGAATCCGAAAGATTGCTGAGTTTGTATCTCCTCCCTCCTTTTTGAGTATTATTCTCCTCCTTTGTTTCTTTGTTTCTAAGTTGCAAGATTCTTTACCTATCCAACTTTGTAACATAAATCTTATCCATCAAACCCATTTTACTCTAAATGTCAGCACAGGGACTATGTGTGAATTGACATTGAATTTAACCACTCATTTTATAGTGAGAAAATTAATGGGCTAGAGGTGAAGTGACTTGGCTAAGGTCACACAGTAGGTCGGTGTCAGGGTTCACACACTTGAGGAAGCCATCCTTGGGTCTCCCCAAGTCATTCCACGTGTGCAACTGCCTAACTGCAAACCAGACAGCCTGGCTGTCAGGCATTGTGAGAAATGCCAAAGAAATATTAAGAGAAGTCCCCACTCGCGTGCTGATTTAGGTCTCATGTTAGTCACGTCCTCTGAGAAGCAGCTACCAAGACAGGGTAAGACATCCAAGAATTTTACTGGGGAAGCCTCTGACGGAAAATGGGGAGGGAGCAGGAGGAGGTTGGGAGAGCTCTGACTTTAGAAAAGAGAAGGGAGGGGAGAAGGAAGGAGAGAGGGAAGGAGAGAAGTGAGGAATACTTTCCAGGAGATGGTAAGTCTGGTTTGGAACAAGCTGAGTTGAGATGGAAGCAGGGCCTTGACGTAGAGTGCTCAGTGGGCAGCTCAAGAGAAGGCCTCCCTGTAGCGTCACTTATGAAGGGGAACGATGGGGGACCAGCTCGGTGTGGAGGGTGCTGCAGGGGGGAAAGGTGCAGAATCCAGAAACAGAATAGGACCTTAAAGTACATTTGAGGAGTTGAAGGAAATCAAAATTGTCATTTGATTAAGTCTTGACTAACAAGACAGACTGTGGAGACCATGAAAAGGCTCCTCTCAGATCTGCTGCAGGGAGTGTCATTGAGGGATATCCCCAGCTGTGTGCTCTGAAATCACCGTGTGTTTGCACCAAGGCCATACTTCCACGGCACAGTAGGGACATCGAGGTAGGTTCTTTCCTGGCAGAGGGGACTCCTCTGATGGGTGCCTTTGGGGACTTCCTGTCAGCCTTGCTGAAACTTTGAGAAAGTATGGCAGTCTTAGCCCTTCCTCCCTCACTCGCTTCCTCCTCTCTTACTACCCTCCTTCCTTCCTTCCTTCTCTCCTCTCTCCTTTCGTCTTGAGGGCTCAGAATGCTAAAGTTTTTGAAAAAAAAAACATCCAAAAGGACTTCAGTTCCCATCTGTCAGTGTCCTTCAAAACTAAAACAGCAAATGAAGTGTTACCAGCTGCTGACCATTCCCTTCAGGCAGAGCCTTCTCGTAAAAACCCCACTAAACTACTCAGAGGCATCACAGGGCCTTCAGCTCAGCAGTTACCATACATGACATGCGGCGAACCATGGCAATGAATCCACACAAGACTCCATCTCAAAATAAGCAAAGAAATCCTGCACAAAGTGCCACTGAATTTAAAGAAAAGAAATACCATAAAGTAAATTGTGCCTCCAGGAGTCATCAAAAAGATGGTGATCTTGGAGATCTTATTCAGCTAAATCTTAGACAAAGAATTATTGAAAAGAGGTCATTGAAACACCCCAGACCCTAGTGTGCTGAATGTTCTTTGCCTGTTTATTTTGTCATTTATGTGAACATATAACTCTAATTAAGTAGAATTCCCTTCTTAGCTTCCTTCCAAGAAAATGTATGGTAAATTCCATTCTGTGGATTTCATATTTTCTGTAGTCATGGGTCAACAAGAGAGTTTCCTGCTTTGGGTGAGGAAATGTAATGGGTTCTTCCACTAAGCCTGGCTTGCTTGCCTTCCTGCCAACGCTCCCTGTTGACTATGATGCAGCCTGCTTCTTCATCGTGGCCCAGCATCTCCCTTTTTCAGTGTTCCAGAAATTACTCTCTTACAAGTGACTTAGCTCTTCAGCCTTTCTTGCATTCTAAAGCTGGCCACATTTACCACAACTTTCCTTCCCTGTTTACCATGGATACCGCCTCCCATTTTCCATACCCATCTCAAAGAGGATGCTCTTTAAGGTCCTTAAGAAATAAGGCCAACTCCCTTTCCAACATGCTGTTTTTTGCACAGGGTAAAGGAATCAATGGACTCAGGGACTTGGAATGCTTATGTACTTTTAGCACTGAATATAGCACTTAACCCATGGGAAGCACTTAATAAAAGTTAGGCTTTTATATTTTTGGATGCAGGTCTTCATTATTTCAGAGGTGTGGAGTATATTAAACAGCTACATTGGACATTTCTATATGTGCTGGTAGGAAAATCTATGAATATGTTAGTTAAATCCATATGGATATTTCCGTATGAGCTATTAGTAAAATCTGTATCAAGCAGGCCTGGAGAATTTCCAGGGCCTTAATATATTACCATAAAGGTGCAACCATGATGCTAGGTTGTGGCTGGGGAGCCTTACTTACATGGCGGCATATAGAAAGGCATATCTCGCATGACAACAAGGCTACTTATTGCTAGGGTGAAAATCACGTTCTTTCTTTTGGATCAGTGAACCATTCCACCTTTTTCTCTACAACAAATAGTTCGCCAATTCTTAAGCAAGTATTATGTGTCAGGTACTGTGTTAGGTCCTAGAGATTAAAAAAACAAAAATTCCTAGAGTGGGACTGTAAGGAGCTTCTAGTCTCAGGCCTTTCACGTGCCCAGTGTGCACATGCACCTAAATATGCTCAATGGCTTGAATTTTTAATTCTATTTCATGGATTTGCTGTAAAATCACGTGATTTCTGGTGTCAACCACAACCTCTAGGCAAAGCATTTTTCCTCATATTTCTGGGAAATGACGATACTTATAAAACCAAATTTTATGTATTGAAAATATGCTTGATTATAAAAATTTTTCAAGGCAAGAATGCAGCAGCCCTTACAAAAACATGCAAAAATAGTTATTTAGTTATTCCAACAATTCTGTATAAACCAGGATTTCCCAATGTTAATTTTTTTTTCTTTTTTGAGACAGGATAGCACTCTGTCACCCAGGCTAGAGTGCAATAGCACAATCATAGCTCAGTGACTTTGAACTTTTGGGCTCAAAGGATCTTCTCGTCAGCCTCTGGAGTAGCTGGAACTATAGGCGCATGCCACACCAGCCTAATTTTTTTTTCTTTTTTTGTAGAGACAGGGTTTTGCTACATTGCCCAGCCTGGTCTCGAACTCCTGGCCTCCAGTGATTCTCCTGCCTTGGCCTCCCAAAGCACTGGGATTATAGGCATGAGCCACTGTGCCCAGCCCCAACATTGATTTTTTTTTTTTTCAACCATTTATTGGGTTTCTATTTCCCATAAATAGACTTTCAGCTCCTATCAATTTTTTTGTGCTTTTATTTTAAAATTTCCTGTATATTAGGCCAGGCACAGTGGCTTATGCCTGTAATCCCAGCACTTTGGGAGGCCAAGGTGGGCAGATCACGAGGTCAAGAGATTGAGATCATCCTTGCCAACATGGTGAAACCCCGTCTCTATTAAATATACAAAAATTAGCTGGGCGTGGTGGCACATGCCTGAAGTCCCAGGTACTCTGGAGGCTGAGGCGGGAGAATCACTTGAACCCGGGAGGCAAAGGTCGCAGTGAGCCAAGATGATGCCACTGCACTCCAGCCTGGGTGACAGAACAAGACTCTGTCTCCAAAAAAAAAAAAAAAAATGTTGTTTATGTTTGTCAATATTCCAGTTAATTTTCCTTACTCTCCTCTCACTTCTTGTTTTTCTCCCACACAGGGTAATGTTTATATGTACTACAAATTGCAAGGCTTCCATCAGAACCTGTATCGATACATTCGATCCAGAAGTAATAGACAACTGGTGGGCAAAGATGTGAAAGTAAGGCTTGATTTAATTTGGTATAGTCCCCCCTTTTTTTTTTTTTAAACCAAGTGGATTTTTCAGTCTAAAAGAGGAGGTGGAAAATAAACTCAAAAGCTAAGTGTTTACAAAACAGAAATGCTGATTTCATTCGTGTGTAAATCGAAGGGGCTGGGTATTCAGGATAACTGTTATTGAAAAGTAGCACTTTCCCTCTTTAGAGCAGTGATGATTATCCTTTCATGCACCATTCTGATAGCAACCTTGAGTAATTAGTCTCAGCCTGGCTGAGTCTAACTACCATTGTCCTTCCTGTCATGGGTGCCTTTGATCCAGCCTACTTAAGGAAAGTCGGCTCTATTCGACTGAGTAAAAGCCTTTTGCTTTAATCGAATACCTTTTCAAACCTATGATTATATGTTGGTGGATGACACTCAGCGTGCTAGCAAGATAAGCTAGAATGAAACTTTTTCCATAGTGACATTGTTAATACAAGTGATTTTTAGCAACCCTTCTTTTTAAAATGTATTTGGTAGTTGTGTGGATGGATTGATTCCCTGTGATAAATCATCTACTTGTAGACTCATGATTTTTGTACTTTTCTGAATGTAAGTTATACTTCAATATTGCCGAGGCCCTGAGTGACTGTGTGGAACAAAGTGCCCCCCACCTCCAACAACCCCATTAGATGGTGAAAAATAAGTGGTTGCTTTTTTAAACCGCTAAAATAAAATAAGTTACATGTCAATAAAAAGAGGTTTTAAAAATGTATTTCATTATAGGTTTAGCATGATACATAGCACAGCCAATAAGGTAAGGTTCTTTCTTGCAGACATTTTTGGTATGCTATATATTATTAATGAGGAAAAAACACAGAGACTCATACCCACACTCATACACATCACCAAGACACAAAAGTTTTTCAGTCTAAGTAAATCAGAAACCTAGGAAAACCAGGCAGCGGTCTTTAATCTTAGTCACTGCCAATAAGTCATTGGGGTGGGGTTGGGGGGTGATTGACATTGCCAGTGATCTCACTTTTAACATTCTAACCGTTTACCAAAAGCATTTCTCATTGTTATATCCTCCTGCATCCAGGCTGTTGAGGACTGCTCCCCATTTAAAACATCCAACAATAAGACCCCCATTGTTCCTTGTGGTGCTATTGCCAACAGCATGTTCAATGGTAGGTGACTTCCTATCTCCATGGTGTACCCTTTGATGAGTGTGTAACAAGCTAAGTGTCCAGAAATTTATTTCTGAAGCTAAGTGGCAGTTTTTTGTTTTGTTTAGTTTTAATTCTGTAAACATCATCTGGGCTGAGCCAGAGCACTGACTTACAGTATGTCATTTGCAAATAATTTCTCTCTTGCCAGAAATCTGAAGGAATAGTCAGGAAACATGAGTTAAATGGAGCTTAAGGGTATTTTTCAATAACTGGCTCAACTTTGGCAGGAAAAAGAATAGTCTTGTGATTCCAGCATCCATGGCATGTAGGCATGTTGAGAGTCTGCAAAATCCCTGATTCACTTGTCAGCTGTGTCTGGTTCTACGTTTCAAAGGGTGGCAAAATTGCTAGACTGCATCTCTAACACAATTTTTAATTTCCTTATAGACACCATCATTCTTTCATACAACATTAATTCCTCTGTACAAATCAAAGTGCCAATGCTAAAGACTGGACTTACATGGTGGACAGATAAGTATATCAAATTTCAGAATCCAAGTTTCAAGAATCTTGCTGATGAATTTAGAGGTAAGATCCATACAGTAGCTCAATATACTTATTTATTTATAAAAACTTTGTTTTGTACATATAGGGAAATGTTTACGAGTCGTTTATCTCCTTGTTGATTCCTTTCTCCTCTAACTCTCCGTGTCATGAACATCTCCAGTGCATACCTATCAAAAACATGAATTGCTTGGTGCCCTGGTTTCTTCCAGTTGACATTAGGGAACAGACAGTAGCTTAAGAATCTTATTGTTTCAGCTATAATAAGGATGAACATGTAATTTGATGTCCAAACTGGTACCCGTTAGAGAGTAAAAGGGGGCACTTGAAGAGCTGTATACTTACTTAAAATTTTTATTTATCATTCAATAAATTAACATCATATTGATGGACTTATAAAATAATCCAATTAAAAACCATTTTCTTGGGAGGCCAAGACATGCAGAACACTTCAGGTCAGGCGTTTGAGACCTGCCTGGTCAACATGGTGAAACTCTGTCTCTACTAAAAATACAAAAAATTAGATGGGTGTGGTGGTACGTGCCTGTAGTCCCAGTTACTTGGGAAGATGAGGCTGGACAATCGCTTGAACCTGAGAGGTGGAGGTTGAAGTGAGCCAAGACTGTGCCACTCTACTCCAGCCTGACTGACAGAGTGAGACTCTGTCTCAAAAAAAAAAAAAAAAGAAAGAAAAAGAAAAACCAAAAAATCATTTTCAAAAATTAAAATAGCATGTACATTAAATCAACTTATTAAAAAACTACTCCAGTTATTATCTAAACATTAAAAGATGACATAAGCAGAGTGTAAGTCCAGGAGGGTTTTCAAGATGGCTGACGATGTATCTGGTACTTGCCTCTTCCACAGACAGGAACCACAGAGAGTGGGTAGGTAATCACTCCTGGAATTCATGAGAACACTAGAATCAACAGAGAAGTCACGGGAGGTGTTGGCAGTGGCGAATCCATGGGAGTCTGCAGCAACTTGATTGTTGCCTCCTTAGAGGGAAGAATTTAGCTGAGGGGCACAGGCAGAGGGAGAGACTGAGGAGGCAGATTTTAGAGCAGGAGTGAAAATTTATTCAAAAGTTGTAGTGCAGGAATGAAAGAAAGTACACCTGGAAAAGGGCCAAGCGCACTACCTGAGAGATCCAAGTGCCCCATTCAGCCTTGGACTTGGGATTTATGCATGGGCCTGGTTCTGGAGTCTGCATCTCTCCTCCCTTGATTTTCCCTTGGGGTGGGCTGTCCGCATGCACAGTGGCCTGGCAGCACTTGGGGGGCCACACGCACATGTTACTAAAGTTGTGCACATGCTCATTTAAGGCCTCTTTTTCCTTACCAGTCAAGTGTTCCTAGAGGAAGGTCATATACCAGTTAAACGTCTCCATTTTGCTTCTTAGTGCACAAGCTTGAGCCCGCTCGCCCAACTCCTGAGGTTTTACTGGGAAGCTGATGATCACCAGCTCTAGGTGTTTCCTATTGGGAGATTGCTGTTTGCTGGTGCCAGCTGCAACCAATTATTATTTTACAGAGACGATTTAACAACCACCTGACTATCCCCTGATGGTCGCCGGACATTCCTGGTGGGGTGCCTCTCCTGCCCTGCTCTTGCCTACCTACCTACCTGCTCTAGCAGATGCACCAAAAACAAGGAAGGAGGGGAAGCAAGGCTACCTGTTTTGCTGGGATCAGCTGAAAGTCTGGGGAGGGCCTTAGTGAGGGAAAAGAGTGTAAGAGATCCCCAGCAGTTCATATTCCCACTGCTGACTCCTACAGTCCTAGCCATGGGAGAGCCCCTTGACCCTCATGGGCCATGAGACTAACACAGGGAGCTCCCTGGAAACCACATGAAGGCATTACCCCAGAAAGAGAACTCATGGTGGGTCACACCAACTCCGAAGTCCTAAGCAGCTGCAGCACAGCACCATTTTGAGAGCCCAGCACATACCAGATTGCATCTTGGGCAGCAACAGGAGCCATAGGTAGCCATCTTCCCCCAGCAGAGGGGCAGCCATGTGTTTTCAAACGTCTGGAGGACGAAGAAAAACAACTCTGCCTTCATCACTAGGAAAGCTACAGCCCAATGTGAGCATTCTGCCTCCGGCCTTGGCATCGCTCCACCCTGGCCCACCATAGTCAGCATCGGAATGCACCACTGGGGAGCCTGAGGGCACTGCCCAGCCTGGCTCCTACCCCTGCAATACCTGGGCACATCGTCCAGGAACCTGGGAACCACACAGCCCAGTCCACCATCAGGGCAAATGAGCACTCCTCCCAGCATCTAAGGTTAGGCCCACTCAACCTGTTGCTACCACCACAGCTGGCACCCACCCACACATGCCACCTGCAGGTCTGGTGACTGGCTTGCCCAACCCATGGTAGCTACCACCAACACCAGTGAGGACCATTGGGGTCCCAGAGAATTGTTCCACCACTGCTCCTGCCATTGCCCACACCATGTCTCACTGTCCAGACACTTGAGAACCCATCAATCCACCTGGCCCATCACTGCCATTCCTGGCACCCAAGCAAGCCATCTGGAGGCCCAAGAAGCAGCCTGCCTGGGCTTACTAATACCAGTCACAGTGTACATCCTCGGGTCCAAGGACAGCCATGCTCACTTCACTGCTGCCACCACTGGGGCCCCAAAACTGGCCTACCTGGTGCCCTGGTCTCCATCAAAACTTCACCACAGTCTCCACTAACAATCACACTCTAAGCCACAGAAGAAATCACTGACACCATGGATGCTGTTTATAGCCAAAGAAATTACAGATACTGCAACTGCTCAGCGGGTTCTTCCTGACCTTGCATAAACAAAATTGATTTGAGGCTGGCCACACCACACGGGAAACGGAGTTATTACTCATATCGATCTCAATGAAGGCTCCAAGGTTAGGGGTTTTTCAAAGATAGTTTGGTGGGCAAGGGGGCAACCTCCTGGTCTGCAGGCAGGGTAGGGGACATGCCGATTGATTGGGTCAGAGATCAAATCATAGAGAATCAAACTGTCCTCTTGTGCTGAGTCAGTGCCTGGGTGAGGGCCCAGGTGCGGCCATCTAGGTGTCAGAAATGCAAAAACCTGAAAAGACAGGCCAGGTGTGGTGGCTCACGCCTGTAATCCCAGCACTTTGGGAGGCCGAGGCAGGCGGATCATGAGGTCAGGAGATTGAGACCATCCTGGCCATGGTGAAACCCCGTCTCTACTAAAATACAAAAAATTAGCTTGGTGTGGTGGCGTGTGCCGGTAGTCCTAGCTACTCAGGAGGCTGAGACAGGGGAATTGCTTGAATTTGGGAGACAGAGGTTGCAGTGAGCCAAGATCATGCCACTGCATTCCAACCTGGCAAAAGAGCAAGACTCCGTCTCAAAAAAGAAAAAAAACAAAACAAAACATGAAAAGACATCTCAAAAGGCCAATCTCAGGTTCTACAATAGTGATGTTATCTGCAAGTAACGGGGAACGTGCAAATCTTCTGACTTCCAAATAATGGCTGGTAATTATTTAGAATCCAAGCCCCTCTCATCCTCCTTACTTGGCAGCCTGTCATTAGTTTTATAGGAACAGTCTGATTTTGAGAAAGGACTATTATCACTTAAAACCATAAACTTCTCCCAAAACCTGTAAGGCTAGAAGCAAGATGGAGTCAGCCATGTCAGATTTCTCTTACAGTTATAATTTTGCAAAGGAGGTTTCAAAACTACACTACTGCATGCACCCAGAACCAAAGCCAAAGTGCCCTACCTAACCAACACCACAGACATATCTTTAAAAAAAAAAAAAATCTTTCCCCTAAAAGCAAAATTTAAAAATCGGAAGACTTAACTGTTATACCAGATGCACAGGTATCAATGGAAAGACACAGAAAACATGAAAAAGCAAGGAATTATGATACCTCCAGAGTAACACAATAATTCTCCAGCAACAGATCCCAATCAAAAATAAATTTGTTCAGGAATATGTTAATTTCCATGTATTTGCAAAGTTTCAAGAGTTCCTCTTGGAATTTATTTCTAGTTTTATCCCACTGTGGTCCAGGAAGATACTTGGTATGATTTCGGGTTTTGTTTTGTTTTTTTATTTTTTGAGACGGAATCTCACTGTGTGGCCCAGCTGGAGTGCAATGGCGCGATCTTGGTTCACTGCAACCTCTGCCTCCTGGGTTCAAGCAATTCTCCTGCCTTAGCCTCCTGAGTAGCTGGGATTACAGGCATGTGCCACCATGCCCAGCTAATTTTTGTATTTTTAGTAGAGGTAGGGTTTCACCATGTTGGTTCAGCTGGTCTCAAACTCCTGACCTCATGATCTGCCCGCCTTGGCCTCCCAAAGTGCTGGGATTACAGGCATGAGCCACCCCACCTAGCCGTAATTTCAGTTTTTAAAAGTTTAATGAGATTTGTAGTGTGGAAGAAATAAACACAATTAATAAATTACTAGCTTGACTAACGAAGAAAAGAAGAGATGCTCCAAATAAGCGAAATCAGAAAGGAAAAAGGAGACATTACAACTGATACCACCAAAAAAAAAAAAAAGCTCATCTGAGACTATTATAAACAACTAACAAACTTTTATGCTAACAAACTGGAAAACGTAGAGGAAATGAATTCCTAGAAACATACAACTTTGTTTGAACTAAGTTTCAATGAAGTTTCAAACTTATTCAAGTTTGAACTAAGTTTGAATTGGGAAAATACAGAAAACCTGAGCAGACAAATAATGAGTAGCAACATCAAGCAAGATTGAGGAAAATCTTCCAACAAAGAAAAAGACAGCATTGGATGGATTTAATGCAATATCCTACCAAATTTATAAACAAGAAGTAATACCAATCCTACTCAAACTATTCCAAAAAATTGAAGAGGAGGGAACTCTCTCTAACTCTCTAATTCTGCAAGATTAGCATTATTACCCTGATAGCAAAACCAGACAAGGACACAACAACAACAAAAAAAGAAAACTATTGGCCAATATCCCTGATAAACATGGAAGCAAAAATCTTCAACAAAATACTAGGCTGAAGT